GTTTACGCAGAGAAGTTTTCCTGCACAAAAAACCCAAACAAACAAATAGATGTGGCAAGTAACAATGCCTACAAATTTCAGAATTTATTTACCAGATGTTTTTCTCTACACCTGGTGACCTGCAAATTTGCCTCAGCTGTAGCAATAGCTCCTGAAAAACCTTGGCAACAGCTACTACTACTACTACTACTACTACTGTATGTGTGACTTTATGGGGAGTTACATATAAGTATTTTCAGTTAAATATGTATATTCACTTAAATGCAACTTAAGGTTTTTTTATGTTTATAGAATATATAAAGTCACATTTAAGTGAATACTTTCACAATCCGAGCAAATGATTCATATATACTGCCCTTCCTCTTCTCCCTTCCACTTCATGTATTTCCCTGCTGACTTGAAACTGTATCTAGGTGTTCAAGGTTACTAAGAACAGAAGGCAGAGAGACAGAATCTAGAGGTTATTTATATGGCAGGACTTCAAACAATTGATCCAGCTATATCTCAAGCGAGTTGATAAAGAGCATTAAAATAATGAGGAGAGAGAAGGATGGGTGAAAGACTACAGCATTCAGAGTCCCTCAGCAGGCCTCATCTGCTCAAGGACTCTCAATTATGAGACAAGGACATTGACCAAGGACAAAGTGACACACCCAGAAAGGGATTTACAGATGAAAATGAGAAGTTGTTGGGCACCCATGCAATCTTCACATCTAACCTTGCAGCACAAACAAAGGAAAAGGAGAATGTGACCAAGAAGGACTCTGATCATTTGATAAAGGGCTGAAAGTATTAACACTCATCTGAGAACAGGGTTCAGTCAGACGAGTAGTCTGCCCTGATAAACAGGCATGACCAGATAAAACATTCTAAAGTATTTGTGTACATATAAAAAAAAAAAAGAGGCCTCCACTGCAAAACTAATGAACTTGAATTAAATACAAGATTAAATATCACAGGGACAACAGCATCTGAATGGCTAAAACATATATTGAAATGCACACACTAATCAGACAAGTTCACACACTATTCAAGCCAGTAGAAGTTGGGATAGTACATAATTGTGATAGATCTAAAACAAATAAAAAAAAACAAACCACAAAACAAACAAACAAAAACCCACCAAAAATCCCCACAAAACTCCCCCCCCCCACATCACTGCAAAAGAACTAATAGAAGCTAAGTAAAAAAAAAAACCAAACCAAAACAAAACAAAACCAAAAAAACAAACAACAAACAACACCAAAAAAGCACAATGTTGCTCAGAGTCTGCAGCAGATTCAAAGAAACCAGCCTTGCTACAGGCTTTATTTTATTAGAAGAAAAACATCACAGTGAGTTGGGCATTACGGAAGATTAGCTTCTGATTCAAGCGAAGTTTAAGTAGTCAGGTAGATTGAGGAGTTCAGACTCTCTAAATTGAAAATGCTGAGCTGCTGCTTCATTAGATGTGCAGAAACAAATCTGGAAATGCCTCATGGGATGCTGCATGCAGTAGACAACTTGAAAGATGAAATAGGCCCAACGAGGTAAATAGCTTCCCCACACCTCCCCAAAAGGCAGGGAAGAAGTTGATTCAAGAAGTTGCATCTTGTATGTCAAAGTACAGGAATAAAGTTATAGCTTTCAAAAAATTTGATTTAAAAGATATTAAAAAAAAGAGTTCTTCAACAATTCAAAGAAACTATGTGAAGTAGTAACCTGGAAGTGAAAATTTCTTAGTAAAGAAAGAAAGACAGGATGTCTTCTATGAAACAGACCTGGAAACCATCAAAACCAGCACAGAATCACAGGGAACAGCTTCTTGAGCACATGTGGAGAAAACCACATGAAACCACTACAGATTTCTGCAAGAAAAGGCAGATTAAATTGCATATAGAGTTGCAAATAAAACTTCCATGCATTCCCAAGTTATTATGCCTACTTCACCTCTAGTCAATAGAAAAATTTAAAAACTCTAGTCTATACTTCTAAAGCAGACCAAAAAAACAGTGGGAGGTACTCTATGATGACAGGAGAGCAAACAGAATACCTGTCTTTAGAGCTAAAGATGAGAGGGAAAAAAGTAGAAAGAAATCAGCCCTACTACAATCATTAACACCTAGTCAATAGTAAGAGTTATTTTTTACCAAAAAAAAAACAACAAAAAAACCCAAAAAAACAGACAAGAAATCTTAGATCTTATCTGGACCTGACAACAGCTGCATTAAAAAAACCTAGTAATGGTCCTTTTTGGTAGAAGAACTGCAAAGTGATCAACTGACCACAGAAGACAATAAAACCAATTATCACGCTGGACAGGGATCACCAGAAGAGGTTGCCAAGAATTACCTTGGGGCTAGTTTTATTTAACAGTCCTACTAGTGGCAAGGGAATTGAGATGTCTAGTAAAAGTTGCTGCTGACAAAAAGTATACAGGCACCTCTGATGCATTAAACAACTAGAACACCAGGTGAGAGGAACCATATGAACAGAAGCAGTGACAGGAAATGCAGTTCATCAGCCCTGAAGGCAAGGTCAGGACCCCAGGAGTAAGACTGCTGTGACAATTGGAAGTGAACAAGGAAAGCAAGGTATTCACATGCACGGAGTGAATGTCTAATCAACTCATGACCAAACTGATGAAGTTAAGAAAAGAGAAAAAAAAGCTACCCTTGACATAAACTAAGGCATTTCCTACAGATCTGTACAGGGAAGCGTCAAAAAAAAGTCACTGTGCAAGGCACTGCCAGCACCTAATCTGGTCAGAAAACAAAGAATAGCACCTAAGACACACATGAGATCAATGTAAGTTTATGCAAGGAAGATTGACAGCAGAATATTGTCCTGAAATGAGCATACCTAGTCACCCACATTACAAGATTCCCTGCATCTCTTCAAGTCTAAATGCAAGACTCCTAAACTGACTGGGGGAGAGAGCCTCACTCACACGAACAGAACAAAAAGTTACTGCTTTACAAAGGTTTAGATGAAATGCAGATGCTTTTATAAATACCAAGAAAAAATACCAGTTGTATTCGGGCGTACTAACTGGTTGTAGGTACGTTTAGGCCGAATACTGGAATAAAGTTTTAGTCCAAACAGGGAAGCTTTGAAATAATTTGTTAGTGGGGCAAAGTTTAAAATGATGCTTGGTCACTTTAAAAAAGGGAATATACAAATGCATTGACCGCCACAAATACTGAACCTGAGTAACCAGGAATTCTCTTCCAGTCCTGTGATATGTCAGTACAGCCACTTTCAGCACGGAAGTCTTTATATACCACTTGCCAAAGTTATTATCGCTGATTTAATCTGGGCTGCAAAACTGACCTTGTCTTAATATTCTTAAGGTTCCACTAATAAACAGAAATTACTTCAGCTTTACTCACTTTTAAGTATTTCTTTTGTGAACAAAGTTTTAGTGTGGTTTTGTGGGGGTTTTTTTAAGGAATATAATTTTTAAAAGTGGCAGATCAAGGAAACTACTTTTTAGAATCTATGTTTAGGCAACTAGACATAGGAAGCTTCAACTATGTCAGTTCTGAAAATGAAATTTGTGGATATTTTCTTCTTGACTTGATGTCAATACTTTGCATGTCCTGGCCTTTCCAAAGACAACAACTGCAGTTCTCAAGAGTTCTGGGACTCAGACACAGAGAAACAAGTGCTTCAGAATATCAGTGCAAAGAGGAAGCAGGAGATCAGAATAATTCCCTTCCTCAAAGTCAATCCCAGCACAAATCTACCCCATTTATGCCTTGTAATTTTTGTTTGCACTCCTCCTACATTTCACAAAGCATTTTTGCATGCAAATGTTTCAGTGGCATTAACAGACTGGGCAAAAGAGCTTCATAAGATGACTTGGCTGTATTTACTTAAAACACCCTCATGACTTTCAAGGACCAAAGAAATGCACAAGGAAATAAAAAAGCAGTTTGGTCAGTCAAAATAAGAAGTGAGAATTAAAGTTATGTACACTAATACATAAAAAAAAAAAAATCTGTTTTCCTGCCCTTCATCCCTAGTTCCCTTACCCCAAACACTACCCTTCCTCTCAGCTGTAAGTGCATTATGCTAGGCTAATATAGAAGATATGATTTGGTCAATAAATTAATGCACAACAGACGCACAGCCTACACCTTCTCTCTTCTTAAGTAACCCATCACAAGGTGGATCAAGTAGCAATGCACCTGCAGACTGTTGAGCAATGATATTAAGAATGATAAACACTCAAGAATTCTAGTTCTGCAAGATGTGAGTACTAGAAGAGAGTCTACAGTGAGAAAGGCATTACATCTCTTTAATAGTCAAGAGACAAACTTTTTTCTTTTTTTTTTCTTTTTTTTTTTTTAGTTTAGAACAGCAACCAAAGATGATCCTTTTGTAGAACAGCTCTGGAGACTGAACTACTATTTAAGAGTTTAATTTGAGAAAACTATAAGCAAACAATTCTCATCTGGCACTGAACAGAGGGTGTGCTTATGCTAACCATGCATTCTAGTCATATTAAAGTAAATAATGCAAGCTCACTTGACAAGGAACGTTTTGTAGTTCAGTGTGAACTGTCATGTCTGAAATGTCAAGACAGAAATGGTATCCCCAGTTAGAAAAACATGGATGTTTTCAAATGCTGAGTCATGCCTCAGAAACCAAGATTTCCTTAGCCTTTTCAAGTAGGAAGTGGTTACCACCCTAAACAAGTCCCGCAAGCCCTTCCCCAAGTGAGAACACTCAGTCAATTCATGTCACTGAGATACAGCCACTGTTATACCACTGTATTACTATGAAATTAAGGAAACTACTTGTTTAAAAACAGAGATGGCAGACAATACAACCAGAAATAAATGGAAAGTTGCATTTTCCTTGCTCAGCTTATCAAACTAATGAACTAGGACTAAAAGCAAATTATTAAACCTTTCTGATGAAAACAATTACTTTGTATGCATTTAAAAATACCCAATGGTATTTTTATTCAAGTCCCATTACTTGAAATTTGGTCTTTCAAAATGTAATATCACCTGTAAGGGATCTTCAGTACACCAACAACTGCATGCACACAACACGGCAGAAGAAAATGACCTTGTATACTTATGTGCTCCTGCAATAAAGGAAAAAAATTTACAAGTCACCCTTATCAAATATGCCATTTTATCAAAGCCTGACATTAAAAGAAGAAAAAGGGAAAAAAAGTAAAAACAAGTAAACAGCCAGCAAGTCTCCTTGACCAAAGTGATATCCTGATAATGGCTCTGCTGTTGATTTTCAAGTAGAAGTGTTGATCCTGCTGAACTTCAAGAAGTAAAGTACAAAATAGTACTGTACATAGGAAAATAAGCTGTTAAATTGTGTGCATGCGTGTGTGTGGAGAGAAGACTATGATTCAGCCATCCTGTGGAAAATTATAACCTCTTATGTCCGAATCTGAAATGAAGTTCCATATTTATTCAGTGAATGAAAAAACATGATTTCAGCAGTGCATTTGTATACTTATTCTAAGAAATAGGATGTTAAAAAGCTTGTTTCAACAAAACAAACTGGATATCAACCAAAAGGCTACAACTTATTTTATCCACAACTGCAGTTCCCTACCTCAGCAAGTTCTCCTTCCTCAACAATTTGTTATCCTCTAAGCACTGGGAGATATTAAATAAGTCAGCCTTAGTTTTATAAGGTTTATAAACTTATCATAGTTTTAAGTGCTTCTGGTTTTAATGTCTTGCAATTGAAATAGGTAGATTTGAAAGACAGTAAGAAATCTGCAAATGAACTCAGTGATATCACTTAAAAAAAAAAAAAACAAAACAGGAAAGAATGAATGGGTTTTATACTTCCTGAATTCAGCAGCTGTGGCAGTAGTGTAAGGGCTATGAATTGTTACTTCCTAGTTATGTCACCCAGTTAAAAATATCAGTATCGTGCAGTTAAGGAAAACAAGAATCAATTATAATACTTTGGCTCAACATTTTTGGCACACAAATTTTGGATTTCCTTTTCTGTGGATCTGTATTTTGGGATGGAAAGTTAAGAATAACATAGCAAAACATTACCCTAAACCCAGCTGGCTGCCTCCTCAACCTAGAAGTGGTACAGATATTACAGTTGTAGGCAAATGAGGGTTCATGATACATCTTTGTTGCCTATCATTTTATTCAGTAAATAGTATTTGGTGATACCAGTAAGGGCACAGCTACTGAATTCACATGTTAAAAAACCAGTATCTTTCTTGCCAAGTTATGACAAACCCCCAAACCTTTGCATATTCAAAAAGCAAACAGGAAATATTAAGTCTTCTTTCCTAACATGGTTGCTACTAGAGTTCAATAACAAGACTAGATCTAGCCTAGATTCTCCTTTCTTCATATACATATTGTTGTTATTTGACTTCAGTATCAGCAAATTAGAAAATCCCATTAGTTCTAGTTCTCCTCTTTCTAAAAGTCAAATTCTCTCAGACAGACACCAGCAATCCTCCTTAGGAAGCCTACTACAATAATGTTGTACAACACCCTGCTGTAAGAAAGATGACCTCTATCCAAACCACAAGGTTGCTTACTGGCTTAGGTAAGGCCCGGGCAAGGCCAGAAAAAAACCCAACTCTGACTGGGTTTTTAAAAGATAATTTATAGATCTAAGAGTTTGACGAGCAGAGCTGCACTATACTAAGATTCAAAATATACTAGTAAAGTTATCACAGAATGGTTGAAGTTGGAAGGGATCTTTTGAGGACATCTGGTCATGTCCCCCCCCCCGCCCCCTGCTCAAGCAGGGTCAGCTGGAACAGGTTACCCAGGATGATGTCCCAACAGCTTTTGAATATCTCCAAGCGAGGGAGACTCCAAAACATCTCTGGGCAACCTGTGCCATTGCTCAATCACCTTCGCAGTGAAGAAAATACTTCATGATGTTCAGAGGGAAACTCCTGTGTTTCAATGCCCATTGCCTCTGGTCCTGTCACATATCTTAACAAGTGACAAAACCATTATCAGAATGGTATCTTTTAAGGAAACTAAACAAGGCTGTTCCAAGTGATTCAGCTAACCCTATTTAACAGTAACAGCAAGTAAGATGGAGTTCTGAGAAGTTTCCAGGGTAGACCATAGAGCCTTATTAATCACTCTTACTAGCAAAAAAAAAAAGTTAGGGAGAAGTCTGCTCCTCAGGCATAGTCTTAAAACCTTTTCCTTATTATTTTTGTTTGTTTGTTTCTTTATTCCAATATTGCTTATTTAAAAAGCAAACACCTGTAATCCTTTAGCAATTATGCCAGCTCCAAATAGCCTGATGCATGCTAGGTGGCCTGCTTCTTTTGACTTGGCAAAATCATTGCTAAAAAAATAGGCTACCAAGTTCTTAAAACATCTGCTACCTAAATTGATGCATAGTTCCCAAGAACTGAGAGCTCATGTGCCTCTAAGCTGCACAAATGCAGATACATCCAATTGGGGGAAAACCCCACACAGTTACCAAACTGTGAGAAGTACCATCACACAGCAAGTACCAGCCTGCCTTCCTTTGGTGAGCAGCAAAGTATCAGGGAGTAAACTTCAGAAAGCCACCACAAACTCCTAACCACAGGCATCTTAACAAACTCGTAGAGACTCAGCAGCCCACATCCTCTGGAGTCAGCTTCATCTGCTCCCAAGTAGGCAGACAGTAATCACTTGCACATCTTCAGGATGACCGTTGCTACTGATGATTTACACATTGTTATTTTAAATCATTCAAGCAGAACCACAGAAGATTGACACTTGCTGTTTCTTTTTTTAAGGTATACAAGACAGCATCATGTTCATATTGAAACTTCCTCCTCCCCCTCGTTAATAATTGCACTTAAATTCACAGTTTATGCTGTCAAAGCTTTGTCTAGGGGATCTCTGCACTCGTATTTGTCACAAGCAAAAGACACAAAAAAAAGAATCATTCACACTCCTTCAGAATACAATATTTTATAAGACTATTAAACAAGCTTTTTTTTTGTAGCAATACAATTACAGCCAATGTAGTCTCAGATGCCAGCACGAGCAACATGTGTTCCACATCGTATTCAAGGGAGATGCCACGGTTCTGCCTTGCAGCCTGAGACAGCACCAGAAGCCTTTTGACAAAAAAACTTACCAAGACTGGTTTCAAAGTCATATGTTTTCACTGAAGATAGGACAGAAAAAGTTCTGTAAAAATAAGAATTGTACATTTCACTTCAGCAACTAGGAGTATGAAGTAACTCTATTCCTCCTCAAGGCTATTTTTCTAGGCACACTGACAAAGCAATTATCTTGGAGAAGAGGGAGACATTGCAACAAAACGTTTTTAACATATGTGGCTGGCAAGATGGAAGAAAGTACCAGAGACCTATATCCTACTCTGCTCCCATGAAAACTTGAAGGGCAAGACTTAATCTTCTGTAACAAGTAGAATAAATAGTGACACAGATGGGCTTGTGCACTGAGAAGGATAAAGTCTCCTGCACACATGGTTCTTTTGCTGATTGACAAGCTGTTCAGAAATTGTCTCTTCAGTGATTTCATCTACTCTCTGGGCAGAGAAAAGTATACATGTGAGGCAAATGGAGTACACCCACACAGCTGTATGTATCAGAACCATTAGGAACAGGAGCTTCATTCATTTTCACTGGCACCTATATGAAAGTGGAACAGACTTAAGTCAGAAGAGTAAAACTGCGGATGCTGCTACTAAGAAAACCCACCAAAATCATGAAAAAAAGTGGTGTCACATTAGTGACCTAAAAATGACCTAAGCAACTGGTAGAACAGATAAGAGATTACACTTGTGATAAGAGAATCTTTGCAGTATCATCACAAGCAGTAATAACAGAATTGAGTGCAATTAAAATGAGGGAAGAGTATGAATGCATTCAGTGAGGGAACATTTCAGACTTCTATCCAGAAAACATTTATCAGAGGATACAGCAAATGGCCAGAAAGCCCATTACTTTATTATTATTATTAATAATAATTAATAATAAAAAAATCATTGCTGAAATTCAACAGACATCACCACAGTAAACACAGAATAGTTAGAAACACTGTTACAAACGGGGATGGGTTTCTCACCTTCACTATTCTGTATTGTTACTGTCTTCATTCTAAGAGCAGCAACTAAATACAAATGCTGCATGACAACTGTAGCACCACATAGTATCATGGTTTTTAGGTTTCAATTCAACCAACATGCAGGCAGAATCTGAAGCTATCACTTAAAAAGTTACTGTTATGGAAAGATGAATCAAAAGAAAAATCTCTTTAATTGTCAATCCCTACATTACAGTGGAAGGCAGAGGAAAGGAAGATTTGTTTGCACACTCGTGTTAACATAAGTGCCAAAGAAAATGTTCAGAAGGGAATAATTATATGTTGACATGGCAGCAGCTGTGTTTGCCAACTGAAATATGACTCAGGCATCAAAACCCCACAACTTAAAGGCTAAAGAGGAAATGTTCGGTTCAAGTACTTGTAATTTAACAACTGGACTTGAAGGTGAGAAATCTAGAAACATAGATATATGCACATAAAGCATCATAATTGCAGCCTTCCTTCTGTGACTTACCAAATGCTATTAGGCAGCCCCTATCTTCATGTCAGGCTGTCTTACAGCCAGATATACAATTGTTTAGTTTAGAGATATGTCTAAGACCTAGATGCACATAGCAATTCTCAATGCACTACTTCAGCTTGGGGCTTAGAGGTCAATGAAAGTCAGTTCTCTCTCTTATTCCTCCCTCCTGTTGCACATAACAGGGATTCCTGTCAAGTTTTGCTTATCAGTACCTATTTTCCACAGAAAACAATTCAAGAGGCATGTCTAGAATAGCCTTCATCCAAACACTGGGAATCATTAGCAAATAGCAAACAAGCATTGCAAAAACTGCTCAGCAGTTGCCTCATTGAAAGCAGCTCAACTATATTTCTTTACTTTTGTGGTTAACATCACGGAGCACCCAGACACCGAAATAGGATTAAGCCCTGCTGTGCTCAGTGCTACACACTGACACGTGACTTATACCCTAAGGAGCTTGCACTGAGTCAGTGCTCTTCTGGCACACCAGACAGGCAGGACAGCACGGGCTGA